TAGAAATAAATACTTTTGCCAATTATTTTTCAAATTTATTCAAGTCACATTTTAATAATGTGCTTTTTAAAGTAAAAAAAAAAAAAAAGTCAAATTGTTTCTTTTTTAATAGAAAATAAACAATGTAAAAAAAATGTTTCTTCATCGAATTCAATAAACAATTTGGAAGATCAACATATGAAACGAAAAAGGGTTGAGAAAACAAATTAAAAAACGGATTGAAAAATTAATCATCTCGATGTGTTGCCTTTCCCTTTCCGGAACATAAGCAAGTAGTGAATCATCGATACGTACCTGAGATATTGTTACGACTATAAGAAAGTTTTCTCTCTCTCTCTTTCTCTCACTCTCTTTCTCTCTCTCTGAACTCTTCGCATTGTTCTCTTGGATACAGCATAGAAACGCGTACGTGGGCACGTAGTCATCGTTGTTTCGGAATTCAAAACGAACGTTCAAAATGCACGCTCGAACTTGTTGAATTTTGTATGTGCTAAGTTAGTTGATATTTGTTAGGTCCAAGAAAAATGAGTTTTCTATAGTTAAACGATTAATTGACTAATCGAGACGATTAGAGATCTCTGGAATTTTTTTTACTTTTTTAATAATAATTTTTAAACAAAAAAAAGAATCACGTTAAATTAGTTGATGATAAGTAATTATATGTATATATATATGTATATATTGATAATATAACAAATGATACAGATATAATAAACGCTTGATATAGTAAATTAAACTTTGTACAATCTTAAATTTAAATAACAATTCTTCATGTTTTTTTTTTATGTTTTTTCTTTTCCGGTATAAACTTAATATTACCTTAGGACGAGGAAATAACACTTACGAAACTATATGTACGTGTAACTGTTACTAAAATATTAATTTACTAATGAGAAAATACATGAAAGTTTTATAATTAACAATTTCATATCGTAGATAATGATTTCGATTATTCAATTAGAAAAGTATTTCGTTTATCGTCATTTCTCTCTCTCTCTCTCTTTCTTGTCTTTTCGAGTATCCCTTTTCGATAAATGTTATTTTATAAAAAAACATCTCTATGTTAAAAGATTTTATTGAAAGTTAAAATAAGAGATCGTTTAACGATTTGGTCAAAAGTTAAAAAAAAAATGTTTTAATTATATAATTTTTTACCGAAATAATTATAAATATGAACAAATAAATCATGTCATCAAATTTAATCTATTAAAAAAAGACATTAGAAACAATTCGAACAATTTTGCAGTTTTCTTTTTAATTTCAACGAAATTTCATTTCTTATCGTGAAATTTATTGTTTAAAAATAAAAAAAAAAAAAACAAAAAGTAGAAAAACCAAATAAAAAATTTATCAAATTGCTATTAAAAAAAAAACATAAGAGAGGAAAGAAAAAAGAAAACTGCACGGTGTATTGTCATCGTTCTATCTAAAATTTGTGAACACATCTAATCCACCTGTTTGTGATGATACTGGCAACAGAAATAGAAAGAAACATAATTCGCAAAAAGTAAATCGTTCTTTTGTTTTTTCTTAAAATTATTAAGATATTAAAAACAAAACGAAAACATCTTAGGAACATGGTGAACGCGTTTAAAAAGAAAATATTTAATTTTAATAGAAGAGAGTCATTCTTCAATAATATTCATTCAAATGAGTCGAAAAATAGAAACTTTTCACGAATCGAGTTTCCTGCCAAGAATCTTCCTCCTTTGATCTTTTAGTTGTAATGTTCATTTTTATAAATATCATCACGTTGTCAATTCAATAAATCGTTTGTTTTCGATCGAGCCATAACTGTGAGAATATCGTCCACTGTAAGACGCTCTGGACCATGCTCCAGCCCTGTTCGAATAACTGTTGCATGCTATCAAGGAGTTCATGGCATTTGGCCTGTCTATTGGCACGCTTTGACCACGAATAACACGACTACCATTATCTTTTGATTGAGTACTATCCATCAATGGTACTCTTACGTCATCGCCTACACCAATTTCCGTATAAGGCTTTGGTGTTTTCGAACAATTTGCGAGAAATACTGCAGCGAATCCAGCCTAAAAGAATTTACATTTTTTGTAATTATTAGAATGGAACATCAATAATAGATGTTTACCTAAATCAACAGTATTTTTTTTTTGTTAATATATTAGATATATATATATATATATAATTAATTATTTTATATCTTTATATAGATAGCTCTAATATATAATGTTATATTGAATATAATAAAACTTACGATTATCAGATGTAAAATAACGATAAACATGGAAGCATTTCTAAATCCGATGTTATCTAAAAGAATACCAGCTACACTTGGACCAATAAAAGCTCCTAATGCAAATGTACTCGTCCAGAGACCACTAATCAAACCATAGGTCTCAAGATTATTCGGAAATCCATAAGCTCTACACAAACGAATTATTTTAATTAGTTATATTTTATATTATTCTGTAATTAACATAAGTTAAAGATAGCACCCCTGAAGGTAGGCATCACTTCATAGTTCGTCGATAATTGCAGTTTACGACTTTATTTGTTAGTTGATAATATTGTTTAACACTTTCTATTAGAGTTTCTTCTTTCTATCGACAGATGGCACTAACAATCATACTTATCGACTAACAATAAGTATAGAGTGTTGCATATCATCAGGTGCTACATTTAATTAATCATAAAAATAAATAAAAAAGAGATATTTACATGCTCGTTCTTAATGCATCCGTGAAACTAGCAACCAATTGAGCAGACATTCCTAATCCGTGTATAACGAGACCACAAATTGTCAACCAAATCATGGTAGGATATGGTATGAAGGGTGCAGGGCCTATCAAACTGAATGCAATACAAACGAGTATACATCCAACGACTGTTGCAATCTAAAATACAAGAACAAGAAATCAATTAATCATATTATCGCGTTTAATTAAAAATCTATTCGTTTTAATTAAATATTAAATAATTTTACTTTTGGATGTGAATATTTGTCACAAAACCAACCCCAGACCGGAGCAGTAAGAGCATAAGTGCCACCATTGATAACAAACATCAAACCCAGAACTACGTGACTCAATTTAAACTGACGTAAATGTGGCTCCAATGTTGCTTGCAAAAATCCAATACTCATACTTGTTGCAATTATCGATAAGGTTGCTACTAGGACTCCTGGAATTCTCAGAACCCTGGAGACACCTTAAAGAATCTTTATGTTATTTGAAAGTATCATGAGTAGAGAGATAGAAATAATTTTGTTTATTTTGTATTACCTCCAGTATTGTGTTCGTCTTGTTCACGATTATTATGCACTGGTAAGATGAATGCTGTTGTCACCGCTGATAGAAAGAGTGCTGAACCTAGGACTGCAAATGGAGTCGTATATCCACCAACCTAACAAATAAAATCAATTTCGTTTGATTTCAGTGGCATAGAATTTATTGTTTTTTGTTTTAATTATTTGTCGATATCATATATTTGATGTTTTTATCTCGATATATTTAATTTATTATACCTGATAAAGAGCACCACCAACAGTAGGACCAACAATAAGTCCCAAACCAAAGAATGTTTCCAGGCTGGCAAATGTGGTAGCAACATTATTCGGAAATTCTTTAGCGATAATCGCAAAACTGGCAGTGAGAAAAGCGGCGTTCCCAAGTGCCTCGACAATCCTAATCAAGAAGGAGAGGATTATAAATGGATAGTGACCGTCGACCTTATCCAGCAGACCGAAAAAGATAGCACAAGTTCCTGTCGTCAAGATACCGCCATTGAATAACAACTTCGGACCGATCCAGTTTAACTGCAAAGAGAAACATTTTGTTTATTAGGAACAAAGGTCGTTAAAACTTTATCCTCGCATAAATGAATAAAGCATGCCTGAAAATTTATAATAACTTCTTCTTCTTTTTTTTTCTTGTTTCTTTTTTTATTTTTCACATTAATATTTCTCTCTCGTTCACACCACGATTTATCTCTTATTATGGTGTTCCTTATCAATTCGAGAGAAATATGATCGAAACTAAAACGTCATTAATTTAATTTTTTTTTTTTTTTTTTTGATTTTTTTTTTTTATTTTAATTATATCTAGATTGGTATTAATGAACGAAGTAAGTTTCGTCAGCCACTTGGAACGATTGAGAAACGAGAGAAGTTTCAGATACTTAAAGATGATCGATTATTTCTAAAAGTTATGCTTAAACTTGGCTGATTGTTGAGATTTTTTGAAAATATTTTGTTTTGTTATTATTATTATTTTTTTGTTATTATCCGGTACGTATGTATATAAATTCGTTTAATGATTGTAAACTTACGTGTTTCCCATAAACAGGACTGATGATAAAAACGACAAGTTCGAAAACACCAAAAACCAATCCATACTCGGTCGGTGAGGCGCCCTTTTTTTCAGCCTATAGAAAATGATTAATTACGTTATTACATTAATATAGAAACTGTGTCTACATTTATACAAGGATTTGACCGGCAACGCAGTTTATTATCATGTTGGATTGCAATTAACGGACTCGATTAGATAAAACATGATAAACTTTGTACGCATAATGTATATTTTACACACAAACTTATACATAAATTATGAATTTCTTGCAATTTGGACGCAGTAATAACGTTCACGAAAAGTTTTAGGAAAATTACTGTTGAATTTTTGTCGCGCGATCGTTCGTTTCTTCTTTTTTTTTTTTTATATTTATTTCATATTTCGAATGTGATAAAATCATTTTTCATATTTCTTTTTTACTTTATTCGAAAAAAGATTAATAATTTCGTATTATATCAATGTTGTAGATATATATATATATATATATACTCGTACGATGATAATAAATATTATACTAATTATAAGGAATATATTTATATATATATATCTATATTTAATTAGAAACTCGTGATCTCTCGTTGATTTCTTTCTTTTTTTTTTTCTTTTCTTTTCCACTCTTTCTTTATTTATTTGTCTTCGTGAGATAACAATTTGTCGATACTAATTTAACTATTTCTTGATTAAAAGAGACATAATTAGGATATAAAGAATAGATAATGAAAATAAATGTTCTCTCTTCTTTTTTTTCTTTCTTTTGCAAAATGACGTTATTGCTGTCGTAACCCCTTTAAAGGAAAAATGAGATTTGTTGGTGAGAAAAAATATATTTTCATCACATGAAAGAAATAGTAGAATTGTATCTAATTTATCTGTTTTATCTAATTTATCTCGCGCGTACGTACGTTAACCCTTGAACTCTTCAAAGAATGGTGAGAAAAATATATTCTCGATGTTTTTCCTTTTCTTTTTTCTTCTTCACTATTTTTGAACTATTTTTTTTTTTTCGAAAAAAAAAAGAAGAAAAAAAGGCAATTCCGATCATCGAAATTTATTTGCTCTCACGAACGAGGAGACAATAAACTTCTATACTAATCGTCACGTTTATCATTGAAAGAAAGTCTTATCGAGGATTTAAAACGCGTGCTCTTTCTTCGCTTCGTAAACAACGTGAAAATTCAATCCTTTCATGTTACAACGATACTGATGATAATACTTAAAATATTCGAGAGAAAACAAAAAATAAATAAAAGATAAGTAAAAGAATTTTTTAATATAATAATATTATCACAAATTATACATGTGTCATACCTATAATTACAATTAAGATGTAAAATATTCACGAGTTATAATACACGTCATATAATATGTCAAAATAATAATTTAAACAAAGTAAAAAAAGAATGAAATAACAAAAGAAAAAAATGAAAGAAACAAGAATTTGGAAAAATGTAATCTGAATAATAACATAAAAAAAAGGGGGAAAATGTACGTTAAAACAAATAAAATCTAATCAACAAAAATAACACGAAAATAAATATATTCCTATAGAAATTACGCGTTATACGGAAATGAGGAAATAATATTTGATTAATTCACGAATGAAACATTTTGAAAGCAAGACTCCAATTAGAATTAAAAAAACACTTCAATTGAATAATCTAACAATAATAATAATAATAATAATAATAATAATTTTACCTCTTGAGGATAGAAAGGTGCTTGAAGAGATACGCAAATAGCATTAGCGAAATCTGCAATGCTGATCACTATGAGAGTAAGCCATTGTCTTTTAGTGAATTGTCGCACCATCGTGATTGAAAATATAAATGATCTAAATAAATATAAACTCTACGTATATAGAATAACACTTTGTGACTTTTCAATTAATTGATCGATTTGTTGATGATGATGATGATGATGATGATTATGCCTTGGGAAGCATCAAATACGCGTTCTCGCGAAGTTCTGATGAACTTGTCACTTGTAGTCAATCATACTTGTCTTATAGTTCGTTTTCTATCTCTTTCTCTCTCTTTCTTAAGATTCGGTTGGTCGTTTGTGAAGACTGACGAGAAGACACGAGCGGTTCTCAGTTCGGAAAGCGTGTCTCGTTTGCTTTTAAGGTTTGAGATGTAAGTCGAAGACCACAGGTCGTAGGTCATTAGATATGTTCTCTGCAACGTTATTCTAATTTATTATCAGACCAATGTTATTACCATCTACGAGACAGGAACATTATTCGAAGTTTTGATAAATTACGTGATCGAACGCTATTTCTACGATTAACTTCGTACGACTGAATCTTGTTACTCTAAAACACTTTTCGTTTTCATCTCGAATGTTACCAAGATATTCTCTTTTTCTCCTCTTTTCCATATACTTCACCGGCCCCCGCTATCCCCTTCATCCCCGTCCTCTCTCTCTCTCTCTCTTTCTCTTTCTCTTCTTCTTTCTATCTCTTTTCTTTCTTTATTTCGATTAATTAATCTCTTTCATATCATATTTTCTCTATGTTTGCAACAATTGATATCACATTTTAATAGTAGATAAGAAGAAAATAGTTAAGATAAAAAGTCTCTTCCCACTTTAATTTATCAATTCGTCTAGCGGTTTGATGTAATTTTGTTTTAACGAATTTACTATCATTATATTCATAGAAGTTTGGCCGTTGGAAAGAGATAATATGAAATTATAAGAGAGGGAGAGAGAGAGAGTATGTGTGTGTGTATGTGTGCGTAAGTGAGCGGAGTCAACGTGCTGTTATTACATGTATAGAATACAAGTAAACATAGGAGAATGAGCGAAGTGTATTTACAGGAATAATATCAAGTTTCTATTCTATTATTGTCCCACATACGTTATTTATTTTATTTAAATAGTTTCTATATTTATAAACGATTGTTACACTTTTTTTTCTCTTTTTTTTCTTTTTTTTTTATCGATTTAATTACCTTTTTCCACATTTTATTTTATGTACAAAAAATTTCTTCTTTTTTTCCTTTTATATAGATACAATATAATATAATATAATATAATATATGTTTATATATAATTATAATGTAAAACTATCACAAGTTAGTTTAAAAAAAAAAAAAAAAACTTAGGATTAACATTGCATAGAAATTATTGAATTTTTCCTTACTTTGAATTCCTTGTTTGTTTATCTTCGTTTATTTGTTAATATTGTTGTTTGTCTTTTATGATAAACTATATACAACCGTGGATAAAAAAAATTGTCTAAAAGTGAGAGATCGATATTAATTATTTTTACAATTTATATCGAATATAAGAACCGACGAAACGATTGATCGTTACGTATGTGTATATACATATACATATATATATAAATATTTATATGTGCGTATATATGTGTGTACGCACACGCGTACTAGAGATCTACATAATTCTGAGTTAAATATTACGAAACTCTATTCGAATGAGAAATTTTCTTTTCTTTTCTTTTGTTTTTTGTTTGTTTTATAACAATTTATAGCTAACGAACATTTTTCGAAAACCACGAAATATCGTTCGTTAATAAATTTCGTATGATTTCATTGTACGTCCCGAATAGAATCATACTACACATGTCGTATCCTTGAAAAGAACGCATGCGAGTTATTTACGTGTGTATAAATGATTTATACAAAGAAACAAAAATTTGGAAACACGTATTCCTTTTTTTTTTTTTTTTTAAATTAAGCATTCACACGTATACGAAAATATATAGTCAAATAACCGAACAAAATATAATAATCCATTCGTACGTCGTATACATGTTCATTTTATTTTTCATCATGTTGTTCCTTCTTTTTATGGTTTTTTTTTTTAATTTTTTATTTTTGTTATTGCATTATTGAAACATAAATATATATTTTAATCGTGGATAAATTTATACGTCACGTAGCCAAACTTTGAGCGGTATCTTCTTTAAAGCCGTGTTAAGAAATGATAAGAAGTGTTTGGCAATGCTACTACTAGCAGCCGGTCTCATTTCTTCGATAATCTCTTTCGCATGTTGATTGAGAAACTGATTCATCGCTTGGCCAATTACGTTGTTACCATTTAATTCGTCGTTAATGCGAAATCTTGCATGTCCAAGACTAAAATCTACGAGTAATTTAGTTAATTCCATGTAACGTATACCATCACGTATTTCTATTGATCCTTGTGCACGTGCTACTGCTGCTATGTCACCTAATTCATCAAAATTAATATAATTATTATTGGTATCTTTTATTTTCTTTTTTTTTTTCTTTTCCGAAAATTTTCGTAAATTTTTGCATCTTTTTTTTCTTGTTTTTTTTTCATTCCTTACCAAACAATGCCCAAAAGTCGCCATGGCTTTTAATGGGAAACAAAAGAATGTTTCCAGCGACTTCGTAACGACCTTGCAACTCGACCTTGGGAATGGTTAGATGAAGATCGATTCTTAAAGTATTCAAATCCATCCGTATTTTCGTCGTGTTGTAATTGCCGGCACCGTAAACGGTAATGTTGGAAAAAAGTGCGCTAACTCTGACCGCACCTTGACCATTTTCCATACCCAATTCCGGTATCAGTAATGGCTCGATCGATGGCAAATCCAATTCCGGTATTCCTGGGTTGTTTTGAGAATAGAAAAGGTAGAGAAAAGAAAAAAAAAAGAAAAGAATCAAAAGCAATGATAATTGACTATAATATTAACCGCGGATATATATATTGTATATGTAAATTACGAGTTATGCATCTTATTAATAATTGCAGTTCAATCTTTTTTTTTTTTTTTTCTGCTCTTACGGAATATCACTGTCTTTCTTGGTCGACTGATGGATGTATTATGACATATTAATAGCAAATTTCATCATCTTTAAAAAAGGGGTAAAGGAAAAATGTCGAAGCTACGACTTAACGTTGATTTACGTAATATTTAATATGAAAATACGACGTATATTATAGTCTATCTCTTTCAATAGATTTTAAAATTCTCTATCACATTAATAATTACCACAAAAACAAATTATCTAAAATTGTATGAAAGTGTACTTTAATAAAATTGCAGTTATTAATAGCACTGTCTTGTTAAGTTGCAACAATTGGTGATGCTAATTAACGGCACTTTCAATTGTAACGTTACGTTCTCAATAATGGGTTTCATGAATCTAAGCGTTTTTCTTTCTTTCTTTTTTCTTTTTTTTTTTCTTTTCTTTTTTTTTTTTACGAATGGTGTTAGGTAAACCTTTTTATACCTCACCTTTCACTAAATACGGTTTCAGATGGTTAAACAATTTTGCCACGCATACTTCAATTTTGGGATCCTTTTGTGAACATGGTAATACGTATTCCGCTGTAAAAAAAAAAACAAAACAAATTATATTTTTAACACCATTTATCGTCACTAATTATTGTTAATCAATCGGGTACATTTTTTTTTTTCATTATTCACGTGAACAACTTTAACAGAATAAACAACAACAACAAAAATGTATACACTTTTCATAGATCTTTTCGTTCAAATACAAGGCTAATAGACACAAAAAAATCGAAAGATTTAAATGGAAGAAAAAGAAGTAGAGAAAAAGTGGCAAACTTTATTATGCTAATTAATAATTATTATATTAATTATTTTTACTATTATATATTTATCTAAACATAATTATAAATCTTTCATAAATTTGCATGATTCTTCGTTTTTCCGTAACAAAAAAAATAGAAAAAAAAAAAATCAGATTTCTTTAACCAATGAATAGAAAAATAAAGGATCGTAGTATTTAACTTCCGGATTTATTCATTGAATTTATTTAAAGTCTCGCCTTTTGATAATGAAATAAATCGATGAAAGGAGAAAAAAAGAAATTTGAAAATTTGTCAGAGAGCAATTAAAATTCATCGATCATACTTTTATTCACGACAGTCACGATTAATTGTTATTTCTTCTCACGTAAAAACGTGTTTGGTTTCTCCGACTACGACTACGACACGACGATGACGACCAAGGTCATTTTCAAGGTATCATACAACTTTTCACTCTTGCTAATAGTTAATTTTATTACTACTTTTTTCTCTTATAGAATTTTATCCCYCCCCCCCCCCCCATTGAAATTATTCGACGAGATCGATGCTAATCGATAAGATCGATCGGGTCGAGGTAAAGTCTTGACACTCGCGAGCCTATCTTCCATTCTTTTTTTTGTCTCTTGAACTTGTTACGGTTGCATCGATCGATACCGAATCGAAACAAATATAATCGAACAAAACAACAAGAAAATATTAAAAAAATAAGAAGAATAGGACTGTAAGAGACACTTTGATCTGTACATATATTTTATTCGTAACGTTTGATTTTTAGCAGCACGTGGTTATTAATGTCATCGTCATTGTCATATTCTTCACTCGTTTATGTACATTTTCGTCATTACGTAGTATTACGTGATCCATTGGAATCCACGAAGATACAAATGCGTCATTGCCACGACGAAGATTACGTTATCACTTTCACTCATAACTATGTCTCTTTCGTACTCTTTAATTTTGTGTACACTCTTATTATTATTTTTGTTTTTTTTTTTTTATAGGAATAAGTAGGTCGAATAATCGTCGAAATTAGAGCCCGTCGTATTAAATTAAATCTTATAAATCACTGATAGACAACAAATTGGAAAAAGACAAAACAAAACAAAAAAGAACAATGAAATAAAATCAAATCAATTTGCAATTCTTTTGATTCGAATTTAAAAAAAAAAATATATATACAAATATTTTTTGATAGTAAAATTTCATAGTAAAATAATAAATAATTTTATATTACTGAACACACACACACACACAAAATGTTAATAATAATAATAATACAGACGAAAATTTCTTTTTATTTTTTATAAGATAAAATTTAGAAGAAAAAATGAGGTGTATACGTGTTTTGTAAGTAATACAAAATTTGATATATATGTATGAAAATAAAAAATATTAATATATGATAATATAGTGTAACTAGAACGAATTTAGTTAGGGTAGAGTAAAATTTGGGAAGAAAGGTGTCTACGCTCTTGCAAGTAACAAATACTCTTACGTTTTAACGAGTTGAGTTTACGAACAACTCAGTACTTTCTCCGAGCGATCGACGATCCTCCGCATAAAGTATTATGTAATCTCTGACATAACCATCGCCACGCCATCGAGAGTTGTTACGCCATGTTCCATTATATCATTATATTGACGGGTAATGTGTTCAGTGCAATTCGATCTACCTGCCAAAATCCTCGAATCCGTTCCCATTCTAGTTCGATAAACTAAATGTACTCGTGAACTGACCTAGAATCCTACTCGACCTCGAAAATTATTCTAATTTTCATTCTAACACTTTTGTCCGATCTCAATTGTCAACAATATTTTCTCAAATAAATGAAAAAAAAAAAAAGAAAAAACATTTCGTTTTCGTTTTACGATTAAAATGTTAACGCGTTGAAATTGTATAATAAAAATATGTAAAAAAGAGAAAAATAAATTAAATGTTTATTATATTGTGAATATAAAAATTCGTACGTTTAATATAATATAATATATGGAAGAATTTAATTGAAATATGATATAATAAGGGTAAATATTAACCAACATGATGGGATTCATTCATAAAATGTATTAAGAATAATGTTACGAGATCGCGCACACGTTGGTTGGTACGATTATGATCCCACACGTAAGGAAACAAAACAATTTCTCTCTTCCTAGTTTCAATCCGAGACTATTTATCGTACGTAGAAACGTGTAGGTAAAATGTACGTGGAAACGTGTGAGACTCTACACGAGGATGCTGAAACAAACGAACTTAACTTTCACCGATTCCCTCCGAACTTACTATTACCTAAGACCGTAATATAATAATATAGATTTATCTAGAGGAAAAAAAAAACATTTATTATACAAAATATATATATATATATCTTATTTTTTTGAACGTAAGATCTATAAAAAATAAAATTATTAATTGCACACACGCGCACACTTATAAGAGAAAAAAAGAAACAAATTATTTGCAAAATGTAAAAAAGTAAACCTTACGAATTTCAAAATCCGGCTCGTTGACTGCAGGATCATTCAACTTGAAATCTTGACAAATGATGGATCCAAAAAATACTAAGTTTAATAATACGATGACATTGATCACATTCTTCAAACAAATCATTTTCGATAACTTGTATCCTTAGAGTCCTGTTGAAGAAGGATCGTTCCTTCCAAACAACTATCGGAAACTCTTTAGAACTTCTTTTTATTTACTTATTTTTCTTTTTTTTTTTTTTTTTTTTTTTAATTTTTCTTTCTATTTATTATTATTTACACTTATTTTCCGAATGATGATTATTACAAACCCGGAAGTATGAATTACGTTAAATAAATTCAACGTTCACTTCTAAACTCTTAATCCATCAGGACCATTATTTTATTCGTTAAAATAACAATTTAATTTGTTTGTTTAAACGACCCAACGAAAAAACAAATGATGAAAAATATATATGTGAAATGAAATTTTGTAGGAATATAGGTGATTGGAAATGGACCAGGTAAGTAACTAGTTGGTGGCTTTACGTTATACTAAAGACAGTTCCCCTTCATATTCTGGCTTATATGCGAGAACCCCCTACTCTTTTTAATACTTCTCCAACACAACTAGCGAGGTTTAAGAGCTTCGTCCATAACCGTCTCTCTCATTCGCTATTTTTCTTCGTTTTAAAAAGAAACAAAGTATAATGTTACAATGTGTATGTTTATTATTTATGTGTTTGTCTGTTGGGTATATATCATCGCGTGCACTTTTTTTCTTTCTTTCTTATACCTCCTCGATGGAAAGATTAGTCTATCATCGAGAAAATGCCAGACTTTCTTTATTTAATCTATTCGAATAATCAAATCTTTTTTTTTTTTTTCTTTTTCTTTCGGTATAACAGACATAATCATTGAAAGATTAAAAAAGATTTGCTAAGTTATTCACGAGCTTTGAATATGCATTTCAATAATTTGATAGTATTTGGGGTATATATATATTCAATTCAATTATTCAATAATTTGTATGTGAGAATGTTTCTTTTTAAAAGATATTATATGGGAAAAGAAATAATATTAAATAAGTGATTTAATTTTAATTATGAATTATTTATGATATTTAAAAAAAATTATACGTTTCAGTAGATTTCATTTATCAATATGTTTTTAATTCAAATATCAAAAGTTATTTGGGAAAATAATTTTTTAATAAAATTATTTAGATAATGAAGTAATTTTATATAAATTTATGTTTATTTTCAATTATGTTTAAAACATTCATGAGATTTTTGAGTATATATATATATATATATATCGGTATTTTTATAATATTATTATATTATCAATTTAAACATTAAGTGATTTTGTGAAATCGATGTAATCAAAAATTATTTACATTATTTATTATTAGACATTTCTTATGTTTATTATATAATGTATTTATTATTAATGATATGTATTAATTCGATTTTTTCGATTTTTACCAAATTTAGTATTTATTTAGAAAGTAATCATTTATATGTTATTTTTGCGAAATAGACTTTATTATTTTCGTTTAGATATATTTACAATGAATTTAAATTCAAGTTAGCGAATTATGTTGCTATATCTATTAATTAGATTTTAAAGTATATTAATGTGTAGAGTGTTGAGTATATTAATGAACACGTTAAAATAAGGAAAAAAGTACTTACAAACATATACTCGTTATGACATATTTTCTGAATTATAGTCATTTCTTTTGGTAGATTTTGTTTTTATGACACTTCTGACTTTTTCCTGTAATTATTTTACACGAACATAATTAAACGTAGTCCAAGACTGGTGTATTATTATTGATCATTCATCGGATCAGTTTTTTCTGAATGAGAGTGAATCATAAAATTTATTTATTAAAGGAAAATTTATATAAACTATTTTCTTGAGTTTATGACAGAGAGAGAGAGAGAGAGAGAGAGAGAGAGAGAGAGAGAGAGAGAGAGAGAGAGAGAGAGGGAGAGATCATTNAGAGAGGGAGAGATCATTAAGTTTATTTATTAAAAGAAAATTTATATGAACTATTTTGAAAACATATTGTTCTATATATTAATTGATTATATATATATATATAGCAAGATAAATTTTTAAATGAAAGACTCTTTAATAAATGTAAAATGATCGTGGGGTGTCAAAATTAATTGGTCAGCACAATTACCTGATTTTATATTCGTTGGATTTTTGTTTGCGAGAGGTTAAACTTAAATCTTCGGTTTACAACGAGTTCGTAAACGATATTGAAGAACTACGATATAGTATTCAAGAGTCTTATAGACAAATTAAAATAATATCTGGTACTAATTATGTGGCCACTTCGAACAGTTTCTATAAACACAATTAAATAACAGATTTTACATAAAAATCGGCTATAATTCGGAAACAAAGTTATATCCGGTTATATCTCTGTTATATATGTTAATATGAACTTTGTATTTTTTTTTTTTTTTTTTTAAACTTTATGTCCACATTTTCGAGAACATCCTGTATAATATTTATGATGCAATTATCAAGAGAGTGATTTTTTAATAAATACAATATTATTTATGAGATTATTCACAAAGAAAAATAAACTTATAATAATTAATATAATAATTTATTTCAACATACATTTTTTAAAATCAATACATTAATCAGTATAAATCGGGGTACATAATAAACGTGGTTATGACTTCTTTACATTTGCTTGTAATTTTCTATTATTTATTAGATATAAAATTATGTTTTTATTGAGTAAAAATCTTTCTGCTATATAATTTATAGTGTATCAATGTATCATTCATTTTTTCTCACACATTGAACAAGTATATATATATATATATATTTTTCAAACAAATAATACAAATCTATATACTAATAAATCAGTGAACATTTCAACATTACGACCATCGTAATCCTTTTTTTGTCGAATGCATATCTGATTATTAAGGTTTGTTTTATAAAAAGAAAAGATCATATAATGTAAGATAATTTATTATTCTGTTATTTCTGTTATTTTAATTATTAAAAACTAAAAAAAACACATGGATAAACAATATAGGTCTTAAAACTAAATGATTGTAACAATAACGTAGCTATCTAAAGCGTATAAATGGTATTATAATAAATGAATATAATATGAAATCAAAATTTAATTTCTAATATTTGTCTTCATTTATATTATTATTTGTGTTAATATTATTGAAACATAAATATTTGTGTAAAAAGAAATGAAAATTCATAACAAAATCGGTCATCCTTCCGGAAGAAAACATAATATTCCTCAATGGTGAAGCTTCTGACGCTTTCAAAAATTCACGTGTGTTATAACTGGCCATGAATTTCGAACGATCTATTGTCTATCCAAATTCGTCTTGCGTGACTCTCCATTATTTATAATCGCATTATTATATTGTCATATATTACTATTTGTCCTTCTTGTGAATCTTACAAGAAAGAAACAACTCACTCCTTTTTTTCTTTACTAGCCTTCGTATTTTTATTAAGTCTTCAATAATCGACATGGAAAATTACTAGTTAGTAATTATTATATCTTCACAAAAAACCACAAACGCTGATCTAGAATAATAAGATTTTTTTTTTTCCTTTTATTTTTGTTTTATTGTTAATGTTGATCGCATAATATGTGAAGTTTTTTCTACGAACAAACGTGTAGGAACATGTGAATTTTTCTTGAATCAACGTCATACTGAAATCATAAACGAAGGAAAATATCATCGTACAATAGTTATAAGAAATGCATTACATGTTTTTAATCCTTGTATATGATACATATATTATATATAAATTGTAGCTTGTTCATATTACAATATTTACATGACAGGTAACAAAGAAAGAGATAGAGAAAAAGAGAGAGAGAGGGAGAGAGAGAGATAGAGAGATAGAAATGTAGAGAAAGAAATAGAGGCACGAAGGTTATTGTAAAAGTCAGACAAAGTTCTGCAATACTTATAATATAAAACCATTAGATTATTATTCTCCTCGTGCAAACTTCTCGAACGTTGATGACTCGATTTGTAAGTTCGTTCGTTAATATCAAATGCTAGTAGTTCTCTCCCAACTACTGTATATAATATAATACAAATTTTTTATTTTTTTTTGTTTTCTATTTTTCTCTCTATATGTAAACGTATAACAATATTAAATATAAATATTATACGATTTATAATACACAAAATATGAATTTTTAGATTATGAAGTTTAGATTTTAGTTCGTGTTTTCTTTTATTTTTCTAATATTTTTTAGATTAATATACATTTTTTTGTAATATAGAAATATATATAATTTTTAGTTTATATATATATATATATATATATATATATATATATATAAGATCGTAGTTTTAAAAATGAAATATTATTATTTTTCTATTACATAACTCACTACACTTTGATAAACAATAGAAGATATTATAATATCTTCTCAATCATTTCTCCTTGATACTTTTTTTACAATGCTTTAGAAACCTGTATATCGTGGTTATAATTGCTGTAATATATATATATATATCATTCTTCTTCTTCTTCTTTGCAAACTGTGTAGTTTTCCATATTGATTTTATTAAATCTTTTTTCTTTTATTTCCTTCTCTTTCTCTCTTTTTTCTCTCTCTCACACGCACACTTTGCCCTTTCCAATCATTTTTTGACTTTTCAAAAATATTTTCTGTTATGCAAATACTGACGTTTTATTCTTTATTTATATTTCAAGATGTTTTTTTTTTCAACATATTTCAATATTTTCAAGGTGGAAAAATAAATTAAATTATAATATTATGAAATATACTGATATTTAGATATAATTAAGACTTGTTTAATTGTGAAAGTTCATTATTCATAGATTTGAATAAAAGGTCAGATTAACTAGTTCTTTAAATTAAATTAAATCAACGTTACTTCATCTAACAATAAATCTTTAATATGCGAAACTGACATGTGCGTGCGAAAACGTTTAAAGAGTTGCATATCATAAGGCGTTCATAAATAATATCCGAATTTTGTAATTTTATTTATATTTTGACATCCCTATTAACCTTTTCACGCCTATAAATATATGGGATCTAGGAAATAAAATTATGTTAGACACGAAGACCAATAATATATATATATATATATATTCAAATAATATTAAATTCATATAAGATTATTTGAATTTATGTGATTTTCAAATTTGGGTCATATTTATTCCAATATGTTTATTTAAATTACACACAATTTATTTTAATTACATTTACAATTTATTTTAATTTATTTTAATTACGCACAATTTTAATTACACAATTTATTTATTTTAATTTTTTTTTAATCTTACATACTACGAAATTAAAAAAAGTAATTAGTTTCTCTTTCATTCGTTTAACATAAATAGATATTACATATTTCACAAATATTATTTGTTCTGCTGTCCGTTCGCCTCGTTACACATCTTAAAATATAAATTCATAATACAGGCATTGTTGACAAAAAAAAAAATCAAGACTGCGAATATTAAAGAACTTGTCTGCATTCATTTCAACGAGCTTTAATAAGCGACTTACAATTAATTTCTATAGTAGAAAATATATTTAAAAGAATATGTCATCGTATGCTGTATATATATATATAAATGATTAATTAAAATAATAATTAACATTAATTTATATAAAAAAATAAAATACATTTTCTCATAAAGTTTGTTATAGCCTAAGCCTGCAGAATGATTAACCGTTCTACAAATACGTAAAATAGTATTAATCGAGAAAAATTAATAGTTATGCATAAATTCAAATTATTGTACGATTATAATTAATATACGTGTTACCGTTACTTTGTAAAATCCATTAATTCGTAAAATAACTATTTAAACTCTGAAATAATTATACTGACCTGTTAAAGTATGTAAGAAACCAAAATTACATACTTCAATCAAAGCAATATATGAATTTAAAAGATGCGAATAGATGTTTAATTATTTAATTGTTTTTTGATCTTAAATATAAGAAAAATATTCTTCGATCTCGTTTCGAGAGAGAGATACCTGCACTATTATAAATTCAGAAATAAAAAGTATGTGTGTTTCTTCGTTTTATACCCTTTCAAGAAAAGATTATCTAATGTCGCGAGATAGAATTAGTTTCTCTATTAATTTAATGAATTAAATTTCATTTCTTTCGAAAACTGTGAAAAGAAAAAGAAAATAATCGCAAAGAAAAAGTACCCACGGGGTTATTTGTTTTTATATTTCTCTTTTTCTATTCTCTTTGAAAATAATAAATATTATATATACACATTTATTATACTTATACAGTCTAGTTTAAATTTTACATAATAATTTATAATCTTATGGTGGTAGCAATGTGTCGATCGGATAAATCGTAAAGATCTTATCTATTATATTTTTAAATATATTAGAAACATTTTCTTCTAAAGCAGGTTTGATCTCATTGATAATTAATCTCCAATTATTATTTAAAAATACGTTCATTACTTCCTGGAGTATTTTGTCACCGTTAAACAAATTATCTAAGTGTACATGTATGTTACGTATGTTATAATCGATGTTCAAATAATTAACACGAAAGTGTTCTTGATTCGTTTTAGGTTCATGGTAAGGTTCGAATTTAATATTTAAAGTATAGTCAACGTCGGTTAAATTAAAAGAAGCTGTTCCAATCCCTGATAGTGGTAACATCATAATTTTACCGTCCAAATAATATTTCGAATATATTTCGAAATGTGGAATATATTGTTTTATTTTCAATTCATTTGTCTCCATCTCGTACCTTGTAACAAAAAAATTAATCTTTTATTATTAATTATATAAAAAAATTGATTGTGCTATTATTATTATTATTTAGATAGTTTTTAATTAATATGACCGAATGTGATCGTTGGTTCATTTGAAATATGTTGCAATCAATAAATGCATATAATAATACACTAGATGGTTTGAAATTATAGTACGTGACATTAACAATACTATACTATTTCATATATATATATATATATATAGAATATATATAATGTAATTTTTATATAGAAATAAAATATTGAAAATAAAAATATTTGTTAACGATCAACTCAATAAATATGTTGCAATCAATAAATGCATATAATCATTCAATAGAAAGTTTGAAATCAGGGTACTTGAATTTAGCAATACTATACTATTCCATAATATAATATTGGATTGTTCGGAAAGTAATATAATTTTTCATACAGAAATTTCGTTAATCTCGTTTACTCTAATGACTAATCTTATTCAAAACCTCAAAATCATTTTATATTATAGCAACAGATATTTCAGACGTGATTTATTCGATCCGTCAAGTAAGTAGTTTGTTTTTTTACGATCGCATCAAAAATGGAATATCAAAATCAGCGTTTTCGTCATATTTTGCATTTTTTATTACCGTAAGTATAATAACGCAATGCATGCGAGAACAAACTTATATTTTACAGAGAAGAATTCGTTACGTAACAACTGAGAAATTAAATTTATCAAATTCGATTGTTAACGATCAATTAAAACATCTTGGATTTTGAATATGAACAAAAATTATATTTTTATTTATCATTTATAAGAAACGAAATATAACGAAATTATTTTTCGAACGATCTAATATTTATATATTATAAATTTGTTAATAATAATTTTCTTTTATTATATATACATTTCAAATTACTTACTTAAATTGTTTTACATCGCTATTAAATGCATTGAAAATTTTAATGTCCGTGAAAGAGGAGTTTATAGAAATAGAACCACTTGTCTGATTAAAATCTGCTCGATCGATATAAAATGGTTCGCAAGGTGGAATATTTAATTCTGAAATTCCTTTATTTAAATATGGTTTCAATTGTTTCATGCTTTCTTTCATACATTTATTCAAATATGGATCTTTTCGGTGACATATTTTAAAGAATGATGCTGCAAAATGAATTACATTTATCAAACACAAATATATACAACTATTAAACGAGAATGTTTTCTTGATAATAATAGAATGTTCGATGTTCCACATACGCTTATGGTGGCACACACTTGCGTGACACCAAAGTGGAATCTGAGTCACACTGTTTAATACGATCGCAACAGAGTGATCTAACGCGTTAGAAATTTCATTTAAATCTCGTCGTCTCTTAACGCTTTTTAATTAATTTTTTTTATATTTAATAATATTATAATCATGTGTTTTCTCTACTCACGTAATTGCGGTACATTATTACCAGAAATACAGCAGACCAACGTTAAAAATAATATCGAATACTTCATCGTGGTGATCGACAATGAAATTTTCCTAACGAAATGATTTTTTTTTTCATCGTAATCGAGCTAATAAAGAACCGACGAAAATTATTCGACCTAAATTGTCTGCTGTGTAATGACATTTTTTATTGAAGAATCTCTTACGTATTTACGTTTCATCATTATCTTTTTTTTTCTTTTTCGTTATTCGTGTTAATCAACTCACCCAATTAATGTTTACAAAATAAAAAACAAAAAAAAAGAAAATGATAAGAAAAGAGAAGACTAAATATTTTTAACAATCTAGTAATTAATGTGACTAAATTAACTAGACGTTACTAACAAACTCGATCGGTAACCTTGATCTCTATAACATACATATACAACTTTCTTTTTTATTTCTCTTTAAATTCCATGTTTTATTCGTACCATAATGTTAAAATGAAATAATTTTATAATAAAAAAAAAGAAACCAAAATATTCTTTTAATTATTTAATTATTAATTATAATATAATTTTAACTCCGAATTTGTTGTTTATATTATAAAACTCGATCGGTAATCTTATTCTCAATATCATACTATAAGAAATCGATTGCCAATAAGGTACGAAATAATTCATTTATTAAATAAGAAAATTTTCTTTTTTCTAGCACAAATTTCTTACACATTTAATATTCGTATAAGAATGAATTAATTTGAAAGAAAAAAAAAAAGGAAAAAAGAATATAATCAGACAATTATTCTTCCAATAATTAAAATTCTAATTAATTACCTAGACATTATAGTGTGGAACTCGATCGATAACCTTGCTCTCTATATTGTGTAGTCGATTACTGCATGACTTAAGGAAACGATTTCCAAAAGATAAAAAAAAAAACGAGAATCTTTTGCTGACCAAGATCGACATGTCAAGAATGACTGGTCCATGGCCCAGTTAATATGCCCTTCCACGGTCTCCTATAAAAATACCTCGTAGTATCGAACACTTGCATTTAGTGTTTTTCTATCGCACGTACATCTTCTTCTTCTTTTTTTTCTTTCTTCTTCTTCTTCATTTCAATCGTGTTTTTACAAAATCATCGAAGGTACCGTTGATTATCAACAATCGAGGATTCAGAAATGTTCCTCGAGAGATCCATCGATAGTTTCGGTTGATCTCGTCGAGAGAACTAGAACACGTTATCCACAACCGTTCAAATTTATCTGCACAATTGTTTCAATAATATTATTAATTATTATTATCGTTACCATCGTATTTATGCTTATTTATAAACCTATCAACGTTTCGTTAGATTTAATCGATCATAAAATAATTAATTATTAAATTGAGAAAAAATTACAAATACTCGTAAATATAAAAGACAAATCTGACAATATTTCCTGATTTTGTAAGAAGAAATCAAATATACATACGAGATGTGGAAATATTTGAAAATATTTATCGGATTTTATCTGATAGTAATAACTAAATGTTCGTTATTGGAATTGTCACAATCCATGTGGAATAAATTTTTAGCTGGTGGTTTATCGAAAGTTGGCCAATTGGATCCACTGAGAGTTCCAATGGTAAAAGTTGATCAATCCGAAGGTAACACGAGTTACAGAATGGTGTTAAGGAATATCGAAATTTCAGGATTAAATGATTCGACCATAGAAAGTATTCACGTGGCTCGTGGAAAATTAAGATCGAATTTGAGCGATTTGGAAGCTGGTTTTGTAACTTACAGCGATCTCGGGGATCTCGAATCAATCAGATACAAATTTCACACGGTTGTTAATAACATGAGAAAAGAAACAAGAGACGTGGAGGTTGCTGCGAGTGCATTTAATTCGTCTAAATTTGAAAAAAACACCGAATATCTGCCACGATATTCGGATTCAATAAAAACCGCTGAAAGTAATTCTGATAATTACGAACAACAACAACAACAACAATCATCTCGTTTACAAGAACGCCGTTATCGAGAATCTCAAGAAAAGTTAGCCGAAGTTACAACAGATTCAGCTTATTTGAGAAATCTTAAAATCGAAGAAAGATTGGAGAGTCATCGTTCAACTGACGATAAATCGAAATATCCTTCAAGCGTTCACGTGATTTACGCCCAAAGTTCAAAGAACATGAAAATAAATCAAGAAACTTATCAAAAAGATAAAAACGAGCCGGATTGTTATGATTATTCTGATCCAAGGCAAAGTTCAAGATCGAACGGAGATCAAGGAAATTTTCAAACATCCAAATTAAATCCTAGTCATAGTGTAGATTTTCATGCATCAGCTTCGGATAACAAGGAAATTAAATTGCAACAACCAACTGAAAGAACAAGCGCATTCTTGTATGCCAATCAACGTAGGGATTATCAAAGAAATGGAAATGTTGGGGAAAATGTTCAACAGTCAACTGAAAGATCAGATTCATCGTATTCGACTGATCAACAACGTAGGAATTATCATCAAAGAAATAATAATGATGGAAGATTAGAACAATCAACTGAACGATCAGGTTTATCTTATAATGTTGAGCAACGAAGGGATTATCAAAGTAATAGAAATGAAGGAAGATTAGAACAATCAACTGAAAGATCAGGTTCATTGTATTATGCTGATCAACGTAAAGATTCTCAAGAAAGTGAAGGAAATGTTGAAGGAAAAATAAAAAGAATGTCTCAGAGATCGGAATCAATTAAAACGGCTGATCAAAGATTAGAAAATAAACCAGGTTACATTGATATTGTTTATGCAGATGAGAAAAATTCAAGTGGTGTTAAACGTTTTGGTAATATGAGATTACAGGCTAATCGAGAAACAAAAGTTTATGGATTTGAGGATGTTATGAAGGTATATTTATTTTTTTTATACGTATATATATTAATAAATGTGTGTAACAAGGAAATTGGACAGTTTAAAGAATTAGAACGTTATTTTGATCTAATTGAACGTTTCGTCCCTTCATCGGGACTTCTTCAGCAACTCGATCGTTATCGTTCAAAGTCTTTTACATATTTATGCAGACATACATTCTTATATATTATAAAATTAAACATCTACAATTTGTTATATCCTAAAAATCGTTATGTTGAGAAACATGCAATCAAACAAAACCATACAACAACAATATACATATAAACAAAAATAACAAATATAAAACAATAAACAAAAAAATATATATATTCTTTTTTAATAATTAATTCATTTTTTAGTTAGGATAATATATCGTGATGTATTTATATTGATAGGATATTTTAAATAATTAATTAGAATAAAATTTGATTATGTTTATTGATAGGATATTCGAGATAATAGAAGAATACTAGTTCATAATTTTACTGAAGGTGAATCATTAACAAAAAAGAACGATCGTGTAAGGGCAGCATTAGAAGCTAAAAGATTAAAGGATCTAGCAAGATACGCAGCAAATTATGAAGAAAGAGAAGGATACTTCGAAGAGGGTATGGAATTAATATATCATTATGGTGGAATGGGAAATGAATCAAAGGAAATTAAACGAGTTAAACGTGCTCATCCGGAGAATGATTCAGAGGTATAACATTATTAATTATTATTTATTATAATCTACTAGTTTAGATTTAATTATAAGTAACGGTAGTTGCATACAAAATATTCATACGTATAAAATAATAAAAAGAGATTTTTTTCACGCAAGGACGACGTGATGCACGTGATCATGCGAATACATGTGCCACTTCTTCGCATAAAGTCTGAATACATGCTCACGGGAAAAGTAGGAGAAGAAGTTTTAAGAGGGAACGGATTACTCGCTGGCAATTTCAGTAAGTTTTATAATTATATTATTATCTTATTTATAATTATTTAAAATGATATTTTTCATTTACACAATTTTTTTTTTTCATATATCATTATACTATACCTAAATATAATATGACAAATTTTTTTTAAATTAACAATTTAACAAAAAGAAAAAGATTTTATTAGATATATGAAAATTAATTCCGTAAATTACTAAAAAGGGTACCGAATTAATTTCTAAAAAAATCTAATATATTTGATAATTACTAGAGCATTTAATAAAAAAAAACAATATTCAAGGTAACAAAAATTACTTGACTTATAATTTACAATAAAATAATTATGATTAAACAAATTGAATTATATGATAAAACGTATTGAAATTCAATTACAAAATAACTTTCTTATTATTATCTTATTTTTTTGTTTTGTATCTTTTAATAATTAATTTTATATATTTATATATCATAGCCGAGCTTCATGGTGATTTTACGGTAGAATTGAAGAAAGGTACAAACGATTCGATGATAGTACGTGCAACCCGAGCCAAATTATCAGCAAAAGACAAAAAAATTGATCTTCAAGGAATGGACGAGGAAGGACCAGTAAAATCAATCTTAACACAAGGTAACGGTTCGGTCGATGTGAATAAAGTGAAAAGGAAATTCCAGAAATGAAAGTTCGTTGAATAGCTAGCTCGTGCTCGATGTAAACGTTGATATATCGATTATCGAATGGAAATCCTATACGGTTGTGACTCGTACAACGAACTACATGAAACGTCTATTACGCGAGCTAATAATTACGTAATTTTCATCTATGTATGTGATACTTACGTACACTTTTGTAGATATATATTTACGTACATGTAATACTTATGGAGAGACATAGAAAAAGTTTCTTCCTTCATGTACATACATGTGAAATTTATTTCGTCAAGATTTCTTTTGCCTATTTTCGAAATTACTACTTTTCGTCGCGACCGAATTAATTATTTCGAATAATTAATGCGAGAGGGCCTTTATTTTCTCTTGTTTTGATGCAGATTACAAACAAAAAAATATATATATATATATATATTTATTTGCGTGAAAAAGGTATTTATTTTTTTAAATAGAAAAATTGATGCAGATTACAAGCAAAAAAATATATATATTTATTTGCGTGAAAAAGGTATTTATTTTTTTAAATAGAAAAATTGATGCAGATTACAAGCAAAAAAATATATATATTTATTTGCGTGAAAAGGGTTTTTTTCTTTTTTTTTTTTTTTAAATAGAAAAAGAAATAAAGAAAAAACGCTAAAAGATTCGCTAGGATCGACCTTCAAAGTAAAAGTCTTTTACTTATATCAAAAGTGGATTTTAATGATACATCATCGCAACAAAGTAAGAGTTTACTTAATCATTTATTTATATTTAACTTTCTTTCAAATAGGATTAATGGCTGCCGAAGCAGTTGCAGCAATGCTTGCAGATGACTTGACAACGAAGGCACTAAGCGAAAAAACAGCCGATGCAATGGTATACCGAATGTATAATGATCTTCCAATGATTAATTAATTATGACTACGACACATATAAAGGTTCTGTTTTTTTTTTTTATTACTATTATCATTACAATTACTCAACATTACTCTACGCGTAATTATTATTATTATTATTATTATTATTTGCTTATTAATTTCGTATTAATTAATCTTTGACTTTTTTTAGCATTTTATTTATATTTATTTATTTATTTATTTATAATTAATAATAAATCTTACTCGTATTATATACAAATTTAATCAAAAATTCATATAAACTTACGAAGAGAATTAATTTTTTATTGGAATAAAATTTGCATAATATTCAATACATATTTAGTTACGTCATGTCGTTCTTTTTGGTTTATTTAACAGCTACTTAGATTCACACACACATTTGCATTAATTTGCATGTGTATAACTTCTTTTTTGTTTTCAATTTATTACGTATTAGTATTAATATATAATCTATATCATATTTAAATATTTTATTATTAATAATATCTAGTGCTTCAGTTTCATTAATATGTACAAAATACATTGTACATTATTATTATTATAGGTATTGTTCTCATGGTAAAACAAAATATTCATAACACAGAAATATATCATATTAAAAGAAGAATTTTGTTCTAACCAATAAAAAGAAACTTATATTAACGTATGTATTTATTTCAACTAATTATTGATAACTAATTAACTAAGTATATATATATAATTACGTTATCAAGTATGAAAGAATAATCTAACAATTTGATCGTCAAATGAAATGATATTATCATCTAATTAGAATTAGCCAAGTGAAACGATATATATATATATATATGTAATATTTATAATAGATATTTAAAAAAGGATGTGCAAAGAACATACGAACTATAGTGAAGTACATACAACTTGAATGTATCTACTAGTATCTTTTGAAATCGTATTACGCAGGAAACGATTGCGTAGAAGGACATTAAGGTGATTAACTTAATACCCGTCGACATACAGTGATCATTATAATTTTCAAACAATGTTCAAAGGATAAAAAAAAATGATGAATTGTGCAATATGTCATATGGGGAAAAAAAAATTTCTCTTCTCCTTTAACGTATCGCCAAAATTTGTCTTATATATACAAAAATTTCTATACATGTATCTTGTGTATTAATTTTAACTAACAAATTTATCATCTCAACGTATTAACATAATTTTCTTTCTAAAAAAAAAAAAATTTATTTACATATATATATATATTTTCTAAGCGTCTAATTTAAATAAACTTTCATCCTATCGAAATTTTATTTTGATATATGTATATCTATTTTAATTTTTCGCGATTTCTTTGGAATAATATGAAATATTAAATATGAGATGTGTGTGTTTCACAATATGACAAATCAATTCGTACAAATCGTAAGCAAGTTTTAACGCTTTCGCTGTGGTCTTTACCCCTTTCACGAACGAAGAAAGTTGTTGTAATCTTGGCTCGATGATCTCGCTACTATCGATTTATCAGGAAAGAAAATTATAACCTTACAAATTCCACCGACGCGAACTCTTTTGCAAGAGTTCAAAATAAAAAATTAAATATAATAATCGAAAAACATTGGAGATACATATATTCCACCAATTTATATATCCGTTAAAACACAAAACACAAAAATTATTGGAAATTACGATTGATCAAAACTTTCTAGAACGATGAACGAATATGCGAACGTATGGAAATAATTCTTATTTTTTTTTTTTTTTTTTTTTTTTTTCATTTCTTTTCTTTTCTTTTCATCTTTTCTTCTCATTTTTATTTTATTTGAAAGTATACGTGAGATCACGATCAGGTAGTAATTAAATTTATCTCCTAATTTCTTATATAATTGTTCAATTAAAAAAAAAAAAAAGAAAAAATAAAAAAATGAAAATAATTAATAACGGTCGATTAGAATTATTTATCGAAGCGTATAAAAATGATGATCAATAATGTTTCTCTCTCGCGATAGAAATAATTATTAATTTATCATTTTAATAAAACATCATTATATTATAGATAAATATATATATATATATAATAATGATAATAAATATAAAATAATAATAATTAAATCTCGAAATATAAAATTGTGATAATCCAAAACAAAACAAAAGAAAAATTAATATTATAAAAATGACAAATAATGTTATACGTTTAAATAATGAAATAATTTAAACGAGATAAAGTGGTTTATTTATCACAAATTAATAGGAACTTGGTTACGGCCCTGACAGAGTTTAAAAAGGAGCCATTCTACCATGATAAATTTACTATTGCGCTGAGTGGGGCATTATATACCTGGAGAAAGTCTACTTAGTTTATATATACTCGTGCACAGGGGCCATCGTACGCATTTTCAATATCGCTCTCGCTAATTGTGATACTCATATATATATATATACACATATACATATACATATAGACAGATAAATATACGGGAGAACGATCCAAGAGATCCAAATTCACCTGGACCAAAGATCTTTATAGATCATCGTTAAATTCTTCATAGAAGGATGACAATACTCGTAGGATTATTAACAATTTTTGCGATCTCATCGAGTATCGTACAAGCCGAATTACGTAAGTAACATTCATAAATATTATTATATATATACATTTTTTTCTATTTGTTCTATTTTATATTGAAATAATTTAACGATTCTCATAAGAGAAAATAGTTAAATACATTTGTTCTTTTGTATGTGTGCCAATAGATTGTAAGAATTTTTTTTGTTTTAAACTATTGTGATAAGAACGGAAATTACCCCCCTCCCCCTCCCACCTACACACCGTTCGAACTCGTAAAAAAGAGAAGAGTAATAAAAATAAATTACACTTTTCATTTTATGTTCGATGATTTTTGTACACGTGTCATTACTAAGGTGTCATTTTAATTTATTACAACATTTTCAAAATATAACATTTTGTAATAGTTTTAGTATGAATTTTATGAATTCTTAACATTTCGTTTACAACTCTCTTTTTCTTTTCTTCTTTTTTGTATTGTTTTATCGAGACGTAAATGTGTGAAGAATGATCGAAAGAAAAATCGTATAATTTTGAAAGTTTTTCTTCTAATTCAGAATAGTACCCATAGGCGTTCCTTTCTAGCAGACGTCACTTTACATTCTAGGTTGAACGATAGAAAAACTCTAATTGCAACATAGTACACATTTGCATATATTGCAAATAAGTTTCTCGTTGATATTTATCCATGTGAATGTTAACGTTCATGAATGCACGTATTATAATACACGAGTAACCAATGATTAACTGTTTCTACGCAAATAATTATAACACACTTTGATTGAAGAAATAACAAAAACAAAAAAAAAAGAAACTTTAATATATTATAATACAAAAAGAACACTGTCACACAAACATTTTCAACTAACAATATCACTTTCTACGTTCACTTTCGATATTTAGGCTATGATGAATAATAATGCGTTTTATTGAGATGCAATTCATCATTTTTTTTTTCATTTAAACATTGAAATCCTAAGAAATAAATAATTGATAATAAAAAAAATCACACACAAGACGCGTATTTAATATTAATTTAATAATAATTATTATTTCAGCTCCGGGTGTAACGGCATGCCCAAAAACAACGGATCTTCAAATTTATAACAAATGTGTATTAAAACAATTGGAAGCTATTGTACCATATTTAGCTAAAGGTATACCGTCCTTGAAATTACCGCCATTGGATCCACTTTTATTACCATCTCTAACAGTAGATAGAAATTTAGAAGCGCTTAAGATCAAGGCCAACATGAGCCAAATTCGCGTTTACGGTGCTACGAATTTTTTGGTAGAAGAACTTAAAGCAAATCCGCATGATTTAACGGTTATGATAAAGGTACAATTACCTCACGTTCATGTAAAGGGTGATTACGATGTTCATGGTAGATTATTGTTATTACCATTAAACGGTGCTGGCAGTTTCAAAGGAAATTTCAGTAAGCTCGTGTTTTTTCATTTATTTTATCAAAAAATATACAAATATTACAATAGATAATACTACTCTCTATATTTTGCTTTTTCTTTTTTTTTATTTATTTATTTATTTATTTATTTGATTTCGTATTTTAGCTAATACTGAGGCAATAGTTAACGCACAAGGTAAAGAAGTTACCGACAAAAATGGTATACAAAGATTGGAGATTGATAAATTAAATACCAAAATTCGTGTTGACCATGGAAATATTAAATTGAAGACACCACCTTCTCATACCGTTGCTGGTAATTATAAATTTGTGTTATTAGAATTATTATTAGAATATTCGAATTATTTATATATATATTAAATTATATTATATATTTCATTATTATTTTTCTCGTTTAAAAGTAAAATGTTTTTCTACACTATTTATTATTATTATTATTATTATTTTAGCGGACGCAGCAGCAACGTTCTTCAATTCTAATCCACGATTAGTACTTGACATAGCAAGTCCTATCATCGAGGACACAGCTGCAACTATTAGCAATGCTTTAGCAACTCGTGCACTCAGTGTTCTTACCAGAGCTGAATTGGTGCCCTGATTCATCATTTTTTTTTTTCATTTCTTCTATAATAAGTATGATTAGAGATATATATACATATATATATATATATATATATATATATTTATAATTGTTATATTGTTTATGAATAGTTCTTATTCGTAAAAGTAATCAAAGTACTGGTGAATATCGTAAAATGCCAATATGTTCAATCTCATTTTTCATTAATTAATTTATTAATTGAACGTATAATATTAAATTTCACATAAATTTCTAAATTTTTTTAGAATTCAATTATTTTTCTGGAAATAGTTCTTCGTACGTAAAATTTTCGACAATTTTATTCGCACTATTGGTTAACACAGCAGATAATGATTTTTCCAATTCTGGCTTGATCTCTTCTATAAATAATTCGCTATTGCTATTGATGATATCATTACTGATTTGACCTAAATCAAAAAAAGATACAAAATCGTTGATCATTTCTTCTTAATTTTCATTTGTATATGTGATTATTCTTCATGTTAATTTAAATAATAATGACGATGACGATGATATTATTGTTATTTTAATTTTATTTCATTTAATTCTTACCTAAAAGTCGATCGCCATTGAATAAATTTTTCAGTACAACTTTCGCGTCACCAATTCGTATGTTTATTTTCATATTGTCGAAATGTAAGTAAACGTTATTGTTACGAGAAATTTTCTGTGCTTTCATGAAAATGTCCGAATCGTAGTTATCTGTAAAATAAAAAGATATCATGATATTATATCGATTGTTTAAAAAAAAATTCATGATAAATAACGATTTAGTTATGGCATGTTTTAAGTGTGACTATCTTTTTAAATAAATTCGTTCATCCGATCCCTATATGGGTCGATTGTTCATAGTGATCCTTTACATGAATGACTCGTATATAATTTGTTACTAACAAAAGGGATGAAATATAACGTACGGAAGCTGCCTTCTAAATCACCCTGTCCAGAAAGTTCCAACAAAAGTAATTTAGCATCTATTTGATATTTTCCTTTAAAAGTGAGCGATGGAAATGCTACTTTAAAAGTGAATATGAGGTCATCGGTATTTGCTTTCAAATCTCGTACAACAAATTTTGATGGTCCCCATACCTATAATAAATAATAAAATTAATTATTATTATTATTTATAATTTCTTATTTTTAGAAAAAGTTATAAGTTCGTCAATTTTTTGATATATTAATTTAACTATTGATACACAGAGACTCAATATTTTTTTTTTTACATTTATTACTTGTGTCAATTAATGAACAATTTGAAATATTAATAAAATATATATTTATGTTTTTGTCTTGTTACGCTGGGAGTTTCAAATATTAACACCATAAAGAATGATTTGTCTTAAATTAAATGTTATCATTGAATAAACCATGTTTTCTAATCTCTCATCTCTATTTGAAAAATTATTTTAATTATATCAGATATAACTGATTGAGTGTTTAATTACAAATTGACAATTTGAAAATAATAACTTTTGATAAAAATATTTAATATATATATATATAATAATTATCGATTAAAAATAAATATTAATTAGAATGTAGAATTTACTTGAATATCAGTTAGATTGATGTCGAGTCTGGCAGTATTGGGTCCTCTCAACAATCGAATTTCATTTAATTTAAATGGTTCGAATGGTGGAACTTCAAGTTCTGGAATTCCTTCAGTTAATTTTTCACGAAGTTGGTTGATCGAATTCTCAATACAATCATTTATGTTTGGATCGTGTTTTTTACATACTTTTATGTATGGTGCTGCAAACATAGTAATGTTAAAACGAAGTTACGTAGAATATCTGCGCATTAAGAACAACATTTATATAATACTTATCAAAAACAAACTCATTAAATGCAACCTTGCGATGAATAATATTAATCATTCAAATTCATTATTCATAATTTCTTTTTTCCTATATTTTTTTTTTTTTACCAAAGTCATAAATCAGAACTCTCATCTCTCTCATTGCAATATAAAATGAAAATAGTATGTTATACGTTAATTTGTATTTTCAAAAAACAAATTAAAATAAGAAAAAAATAATGATTAATTAGAAGCTTTTTTCTCTGGTTTATAGATTTAAAAGATATTTTTAAAATTTTCATTCTCTTCGTAGCATTTTGATATACCTATCAAACATCCTTTTAAACATAAATATTGTAATAAACTTTATTCTTATGTTGTTACGAGAATAACAAGATTTTTAAATGTTACATCAAAGATAATGACAAGAGTTATATTATGATAAATGGAACATTTCTAATCATCTATGTAGAAAAATGATCAATTGTACAACTCTTTGCATCAGATGCAAGATTGATATTAAGGTCATCTTCATGACACTAATAATTGACGAGTTAGCCACATCATTTAGATAATTTTTATGAATAATGATTGCCCCCCCTCCCCCTCCCCATTGTGCTGTTACTATTGTAATATTTACATATATAGAGAAAGTCCATTAGCTGGTTATTATTATTTGCGGTCAAGTTTCCTTGATTATTTCAAGATAATTTTCTATTGTTCTTCTTTGATTTTGTTTGTTTTTTTTTTTTGTTTTTTTTAAATTATACTTACGTATTGCACAGAAGACATCCCTGAATAAAGTCAATACAAAACTGGAACAAATGAAAAATATTTATAAAATATACGTATACACGTGTGCTTACATTTCCCGCGTGTATATCAACAATATTTCAATTTGATTTTCTTATATTATTTAAAAAAAAAATACTTAAATATTTGTTTTAAAATCATGAAATAAATCTCGAAACAAAATTGTATTGTTTGTACGTTTTATGTTTAGTAATTAAGTTGTTGTCACTTTAATTCTTCCTCTCTCTCCTTTATGGGTTCGAATAATTTCTCTATTAACATTTTTATTTTTAAAACAAAGACATTTGTTTTTCGGGCGAGTCAACTGATCCATTTGAGTATTAGCAATCAAACTTGAATATATATAATAGAAACGTGTTTATTTCAGGCACATGTTGTAATCCAACGTGACATGGCTGTTGATTGATATTTGTTTCTTTTTTTGCATACTAATTGTATAAGACAAACAGAAAGTGATTTTATAATTTTATAATACTTTCCTTTTCAATATCTAATCAATTTATAATATGATTATCATAATAAATAATATTATATAAACATCATCATTTAATTTATATATGTTATTATTATATCATGAAGATACATATAACGACTAGCTCAATGAAATGTATAATATAATTAATTATATAACAAGATCTATCATCGTAACATTCATACGTTATTTATATTATTACCTTGAGAAGATCAACAAAATGTATTTCTATTTTTCTTGGAAAACTTTGAATATCTTACATATTTTAATAAAATACTATAATTATTCAAACTAGTTTTATTATACATATATATATATCTAATTTAATATGTTGCAATATAAATTGGAATAATCTCAAGGAATATTCTAATTTATTACATACGTATTATAATAAACTAATTAAAAATACTCAGTTTTTCTTTTTTTTATGCTTTTTATTACAAAATCTTTTTATTTCTTTAAATCAGAGAAAGATAATAGGTTTAATGGTTTCTTGTATGTTACAAAAGTATTTATATTGAAAAATCGTATTAGAAAACTATTATGCAGTGATGTTAATGCAAATTAAATAACACAATCAGAGAGAGAGTAATTAGTATAATCGATCTTCGCGTGTGTTTAAGTATACATATATATGCAAAAATAGAATTGATGGAATTTATAATTTTAGTAAAAGTTACATAACAACTATGAGTCGTAACAACTTACATTGAGGGAGTTTGGCTAAATAAAAAACTATAGACATTGATTACCTGCGTGTTGTAATATATACGTGTGTGAATATTTATATGATAATGATACAAAAGTAACAAATTTTATCTTTCTTAGTATAATCGTTTCATTTATTCTGATCGTACGTAAGCTATTAAAATCAATCAATTTTTTTTATTGTTTAGTTATTATTAAAGTAATAAAGATCAATTTGTTATATTTAAATAATCGATCGATATTTTACAAGCATAAGGAAAAATATTCGCTAAGTATTTGTTAAAATACATTTTACTTGTTAAATATTTTTCATTTGTAGCAACTTGGAAAAAACAATTCGATCTTTAGCATTTAATTACGATTTAATTTGTATCATTAACACTTACATTTGCATTGACGTCATCTACTACCATTTTCCTTTACATGTTTCTTTCCTTTTTTTTTTTTTTTTTTTTCCGATTCCACGAGGAAAAGGTCAGGGAACGATTTTTATCTCGCCGATCCGATCGTCTGACAATTTTTTTATTATTATTATTTTATTCATTACAAATCAATAAAACGAGTTTTATAATTAACATTTAAAAATAATCTAAAGTAATATATTAAAGAATTACTTTTATATATTTCCTGTGTATTTTTCATTTTTTTTCATATTCGCGTTCAACTTTCATCGATTTCTCGCGATCATATAAATCAAATATTATATTCCATCGAAATCTAACGTAAAATTGTTAACCGCAAAAAATAAATAATGTACGCGCCTATAGTAACTAAATAATCCTTAAAAAGGATTTAAAAAAAAATAAAAAAAACAGACAACAACAACAACAACAAAATAAAACGCAAGGAATTACAAAATTGTTTAAACAAATCGTTAATAAAAAAATCATCATCATCATAAATAAATACCTAAGAACGAAAAATAAAAAATATTATAATATAATTATAATAATAATAGTAATATAATATAATGTGTAAAATTACAAAAAAAAAAGAATGCAGGTGTATAAAAATAAACGTACCAGAGTCCGATGAAAACATTGACACAACGAACCATTGTGAAAAACTGTGATCCAAATTTGTACAATAAAAATAATAATAATCACGTGAATGATCCCTCCGAAAACTAATTAAACAAAAAACAGTATTAAATGATCACTTAATGAACGAACTAAATCGATCGATCGATCGATCGATTTGTACGCAAACGTTTCAAAGATGATAATGATGATCCTCCTACTGTCTACCGTACTAGTAGTAACATCATAGTATGTGTAGAAGGCAGGACACACACAGCACTTGTAATTCTTGCTCTGTTACATTCAAACACACTTGATTACCTCGTGCTACTTGATGGCTATTGGTTCATATCTGTTGTATCCCGCCTAACTATAAGAGAATGTACATATTACTAACAAGAATTGACTTTTTCATCGATCCCCTCTATCCTATATCTCCCCCTATCTCATATTTTACCCTACCCCACCCTGCCATATTAATTCTTTTCATTTTGTTTTAGTTTTTAATTTTAAATTCATTCATTCACACGAATGTTCTTCTTTCTCTCTTTTATTTTTCTATTTTTTAAGAGTTTTTGTTTTTTTTTTGTTTTTTTTTACAGTATCGTTTAATATATTCGATTTTTGTGTTTTATTAAATTAATGATTTAAATTTTATTCTTATTATTATTCCTTTTATCTTTCCCCCTCCTCACACCCCATTCTCTCATACTGCAACATTTGTAAAACAATTTTGTTGTTGTTGTTTATTTGTTTTTCTTCATACGAATACTCTCTCGTTCATCAATTTATTTATTTTTCTTTGCCCAATTATTTGAAATCATTTTATATACGGATCATTCAATTATTTAATGTTAAATCAATGATTCATTTTTTTTCTTTTATTAACGTGCATATATTTTTAACTTCAAATAGGATCCTTCTTTAATATTTTAATTAAATCATATTTCCTTTAGAAATGAAAAGTACTGTGTTTCTTAGAAACGTAACTTGTAATTTATTTGTAACGAGAGAAGAAGCAAAGTAAAAGGATAGAAAAACGGTTTCTCCAATAGACTTTCTATTTCTCGCTAAGTACGAATGCCATTTCTGGCATTAGAAATACAAGAAAATGGATTAGCTCATTACGAAGGAAGATGTTAGATCTCATTGACCTCTTAAATGGGAGTCAATAGCGTTTGATCATTCTGATTATTAGATCAGTATAATAATAATATTACAATTCTAATTGCTAATACCACATTATTTTTTCTCAGCGGTTTTTAACCTGATACTTCATCGATATTCATAAGATTAATATTTATTTGGTTTACATTTTTGTGTTCTTTTTTCTAATATTGTAATTAATATGGTGTAAAATTTGTAAACGATGCACGTGAATATTTTGTAAAATAATAATAATAATAATAATGTATAATTTTATTCGCTGATATTATATATTAATATTTTATCAAAAATGTATATTAATCACATTTATCTAAAAGTATTAAAAGAGTTATTTTATAAATTGATATATAGATCTCTTCACAAAATGTAACATATATTTACAAGAAAATTTTCAACATTCTTTATTGAACAAAGATAGGATCAAAGTTTCATAATTTTGTGTATCTCATTCCAATTTATAATATTAATACTTAGCACCTGTGTGTGTATAAATAATATCAGGTCGGATAAAACAATTTTTTGTAATATTTTCATGCAAATGTGAAACAAGTTTTTTTCTGTTTTTTATTTTTTGGTGTTTCTTTTTTCATATTTAACATTCGACATTATCTTTTAAATGGTTTAAAACTATTTCGTCCACGATGTTTAACTGCTCATCTATATCACGACTATTAATGTGCCAATCTATTTAAATTTTCTCCAATGGATTCTTCATTCGACTCTTCGAATTATTTTTTGATCAATCAAAGTGTGATGCAACTTTGACATTTTAATTTCTAGTTTGAAAATCCTTGAATCAACTTTGTAATCCCGCCATCGCGTTTATAATAAACTTAATCGATCTTTTTATCAACTGACACGTATTCTTGCTTGCTTGCTTTTTTTTTTTTTTTTATCTTTATTTGAAACGAAATTTCAAAATATATCCGTATTTTTTCTGTATTTTTTATACATCCTCAAAACGCAATAATTATTAACGAATATCACAACGTTTATTTCTTTTTTTTTTTTTTTTTTTTTTTTCTTAATTACTATATTATTTTTCAACTGTCAAATGCAAGCAAGTATTTGAGCAAGATTCGATTAATAAATATTACGATACAATTATGGAATTTTGAAGTTATCTATCAGAAAAATTGGAAAAAAAAGAAAAACTTTCCTCCCACCAACCTCACCTTAAATCGAATAATTATTATTGTTATTGAATATGTGCAATTATTATTATCCGATAGTAATAATTAGTATCATCGTTACATATGTATAATAACAAAAAAATCAGAGTATGTGTTCTTAAAGACATATGTCAGGAAAATACGAGGAAACTTATTTCCCCAATCCAATAATAATAGTTATTATTACACTCGTACATTTAAAAATGAGTTCGTAATCAAGTGTATGACGTTAATGAAAATTCAAATAGACTGAAATAAAAACAAGAAAAGGAAGGAAAATAATATAGAAAATTAGATTAATTTGACACATATATTTGATCTTATGTATACTTAAAGTTATAAAAAAGAATGAGAATAAAGGTAAATAGATAAAAAAAAAAAGAAAAGAAAAGCAAGTGAAAATTATACGAGGTATACAATTTTTTTTGTAAAAATCATTACTTCGATGATAAAAAAATATCGGTTAAATTTTCCAAGATGTATATATATAAAGAAAAGATAAATAGCAGAGCTTACAGTCTACTTACACTTCTTAATACGCGTTGACTTATATGTTCTCTCTTTTTCATTAAGAAAAACACTATTCGGGCATCTCGTTATATAATTCTTAATTAGAAAAGTATTATCGCGAAAAATGTTCGTAAAAATTGGTATCTTTCTTCTTTTGATTACTATCGCGTCGTCGAAAATTCGTGAGTATTTGTACCAAAAAAATACGAACAGATTTTTAATCGAATGAATATATCGTCGACGATGAACGATTTTATTGTTTTCTTATATTTTTCATTTAATTATACATTCCGAAATATTTTCTCGTTAGACAAAGATAATCAATGAGAAAAGTTTTTTTCAATTAATTTATTATATTACACTTACCATTATTGTTTTTTTTTGTTCTCGTGTGTAATCGTCGTTAAAAAAAGAAAAAGAAAAAAAAAGAAATGTGACGGATAAAAAAAGTAAAATTTTATTAACTGCAGTGTGAAATATAAACAAAATAATATTTTTCGTATTTTATATAGCACCGTACATTCACGTATGCGGTCTAAGGAATCCAAAGGTACAGGAATGTTACATGAACAGCATAATTGCACTTCGTGAAAAGCTATCAGAAGGGATACCAGAATTAAATGTCCCACCGACTAAAGCTTTGGTATTCAATAACATCTCGTTTATAAATCAAACTGATTTGTATATAAATTCGAAAAAAGTGATTATTTATGGGGTAGAAAATTTCATGGTAAAAGAATTTAACATCGATTTAAAGAATCAACGTTTGTATACCATTTTCGAATATAATTTTTTAAAACTCGACGCTGAATGTGATTTTAACATTAAAATTTTAATACCCATTAATGGAAAGGAACAAATTATCGTGACCACATGTAAATATTTCTAATACTTTATCATATATTTTTCCTTTACGGGTGTAAAAGTCAAGAGACAGTTTATTGGTGTACGAGGATGGGTTGACAAATTTTGAAGTCTCAAAAGAGGAACAAACTTTTCTTTTCTCTTTTTATATTTTTTGTTTTTTTTTTTTTTTTAATAAAAATTAAATCAACTGAGAAATAATAGATTGTATTTACGTTAGGGACTCAAAACTTTTTAACCCATCCACGTAATTATTTCTAAACTATCGTTTATTGATTTTTCTTTATTTCTTCTTCTTCTTCTTCTTCTTTCAATGTTTCTTTTCTTTTTCTTTTCTACAAATTTATTTTTGTACAACATTTTCCAATGTTATTTAACATTAAAATTATCGACAACTCAATTCTAGCTTATTCTATCAAAAAAGAAGAGGGAGGTATTGAAGAAAAAAAAAAAAACAAAAAAGATATAAATTCTTTAAAAATTGCTACAAGAGTCGTATACAAATTTTTCCAATATAAAGTACAAAAGTATTTCAATTGTTTAACAATTTCTAGAATATTTGTGAATAATTAAAAAACCTTTATGACCAATAATTTTTCGACCGATTCGATAGTATCGTCTAATGTTAAACATTTGCAAAAAAAAGAAAAAAAAAGGAAAAGAAAAGAAAAGAAAAATACGAATAAACAAAAAAAGGAATTATTTTGCAGATAACGTTACACTAACCATAAATTTACATTTCGAAATTATGAAGAAGGATGATAAAAAGTTTATATACTTTGATTCGTTAAATGCTAAAATCAACATAGCGGACCTAGATACAAATATTAAAAAGACAGCTGCAAACAAGAACTCCGTCATAGGAATCGCAATCAACGCGATTCTGGGAACCAACAAAGCTGATATTATTCGCGTTATTGTACCGAACATTGAGAAGGGTATCTCAGATAATCTATTCAATATCGCCAACAATATAGTTAGAAATTTCGAATATGACGAACTTTTCCCTGATCAAGAATAAATTTACGATTTTTCTATTTATCCCTTGTGATCTTTCATTTGTTTTTTTTTTTTTTGGTTTATACTAATCGACTCGTCTCTTTATTTATCTTATTCGATTATTTTGTTAATATATTAAAATAATGACAAAAAAAAAAAGAAAAACCGTCGAGGAGGAAGGCGTGTTGGTTTTTTTAATTTGATCAAAAATAAAAAGAACATTGTTTTGTATTCTGACCTTTTTTTGTGTCGCCTATTTATTATACTATACCTTTCCTTGAATTTGTTTTTTTTTTTTACCATATTGCTTTCTTGATCGCAGTGCGATTTATATTTTTAAAATAGATAAAAAAAAGAAAGGAAAATAATGGGAAGAAATAATAATTGAAAATAAAGATAAAACAGGACACATGACGGTACAACGTTCACTAACGTATAAACTATTAATTAGAAACGGCTAAAGCATTAATGCAATAGTATGGATAATGCATCGTAATTGTTAAGACCTTGGTTTTATCGTTAACGAGAAGAGTTATTTATGCGTGCATTACAAAAAAAATAAATCACTTTTTCTTTTAACAAATCGTTCAGTTACTTTCTGAATCACAGACCTTGTTCGGATAATATTAACTGAAAAAAAATAAATAGTAATGAATAAATAATTACTATTTTGAGATATGTGTGTTAAAATATTAATTAAATATATTTAAATGATTTTTACCTTTTCATTATTTTTCTCCTACTACAGTTTTCGATCGAACTGCAAAACTGCTAACGGTAAGTATATAACCTTTATCCCAACGTTATTTCAAACTATACATTTTTATATATATATATAAAAGAAAAGAATTATTTTATTAAACGAATATAATAAAATTTTTGGGTTACATTTAACGTTAAATTGCTTTATTCGGTATGTTGCGTCTCAGAGGCATTAAAATCTACAAAGTTATAAATTATATTGACTATTCTCGTATAATGAATATACATCTGTTTATAATAATCTACCTATCGACCAGAGTATGCGTGTTGTATTTTATGTTTGCTAACTAGCTAGACGTTGATGAAGTTCAGTATCCATTTCTTTTCTTTCCTTTTCTTTTTCTTTCTTTAATTCTTTTCTTTTCTTTTGGTTTTTGAAAATAAGGCCAAGGACTTTAAATGCACGTCGATAAACATCCGTAAAAATAAAATTAACATATACACATCAAGATCTATATAAATATATTAAACATATTCTATATATATATATATATATA